GCAGGAGCCTCCTCAGCCAGCAGTTGCCTTATTGCTTCGGGGCTACGAGGGACGTGCCTGAACGTGCCACGGCGTGCGGGTCCTGCGCATCCTCCCCGGCACAGGCAGAGACTGCTCGCTCCGCAGCCGAGGGCGGGCTGAGCGGTGGCAGCGCTCTCCTGTGGCCGGTCTCTTTGCCTGTTGCACTTGATGGTGTGAAATCCCTTTTCCTGAATCATGTCTGTGTGGGCCAAACTGGGATCGGGGTCTGCCTGGCACGCAAGGATCCAGGGGCAGAGCGGCGGGGCCGAGCGCGGCGGCTGCGCGGTGTGAGAGGGACGTGCAGCCGCAGCCCGGCGCTGCCACCGCTCAGCCGTGGGGCCTGCGGTCCTGGTGTGAGGGCACCCGTCCCTCCCTTGGCTTCTCCAGCCTGCGGGCAGGCAGCAGTAGGGCTTTGGACCGGAGGAACCCAGAGTAGGAAGAAGCAGAGGTGGAAGATGTTTTATTTTTTCTTCTGAAGAGGGATGGACTCTGGAGGTGGTTCGTAGGTGGTTGTGGGAGGGGTTCGATTCTGACATTCTCAAGCTTTGATTATGCTTATGAATAAAAAGGGATTGAAACCTGCCCCTGTGCTTGCCTGGAGGGTCTGTGGTCCTGCACCAGCCCCTGCCCAGCGGGGACAGGCGAGCCCAGCCTTCCTGCTGCCTCCTCCACCGTGTCCCACGGGGACACAGGGGTCCCCGAGCCTGGCAGGTGGCCGCTGGCAGATGTGCCCGCCCTGCGCTATCGGCTTCCTCCTGCCAGAGTGACCTTGACTTGTGGGAAGCTGAGTCCCGGGCATCTGGTACAAGGGTGGGTTTGGGGCTGGAGTCATGAAATTAATCGAGTGGTAAACAGCCTAAATCCCGTGTAACTCTGTCCCAAACTACACGCGCCGCCCCTCCCTGAGCGGATTGTCTGGAAGTATTTACATGTGATTATAACAGCTAATCTCGGAGTTTTAGTTCGATGCTTTTGCATTAGACTGATTATCCCCTGAGGAGAAAAAGGCCTGGACCCACCCAACTTCAGCAGGAGCTTCCCTGAGGCCAGAGCCCTGTGGCTGTGGGACTGGTGGGATGTGACCACCGGGCTTTCAGCTGGGCTCCCAGTCCAGCTCAGGGACAGCGGGGGGGCTTGTGCTGTGACCACAAGAGCCTGTGCTCTGCCCAAAGTGACAGCGGCACCCTCCCTCCCTGGCTGCAGGGGGTCCCCACTGTCCCCAGGGAGCCCACAGCTCATCCCCTGTCCACCTTATTGCCCAGCTGGGGGGGGGTCAGTGGCCCCACACCTCCCCTGGGCCAGCAGCTTTGGCCACCAGGGGTTGTGGCTCTGTCCTGGCCGTGTCCTGTTGCCCTCACCTGTCCGTGCCGATGGGTGGCTGTGCCCACCCAGCCACGGCTCGCTGACTGTCCAGCTGTTTGCTGTGTGGGTGGTTGTGTGTGGCCCTCCCCGTGGCACAGCTGGAGAGGGGTGGGCCACAGCTAGCCACCGCCGTGGGGGACGGACACAGCTGGAGGCCGCCGCAATCCACAGGCGCTTTCCTAGATTACAGCCCCATTATCTAATAAAGCGGATCCGCGGCGCTGCCGGCGTCACTGATTAGGGCTGGAGGAGTCCCGTGGGGACAAGGTTACGGGGCTGCTGTGGGGCTGTGGCCAGGGCTGGGCCTGGGTGTCCCCTCCTGGCTGGTGGCACGGGCTCCTGGTTGCCCTGTGGCTTCCACGCCTGGGGCTGCTGAGAGCACGGGACCAGCCCGAGGTGGGGACGGTGCTGGGAGGGATGGGACCAGGGCTACGGGACACTACACACGGGGAGCTCGGGGGGCTGCTGGGGCTCTGGCCGTGGGGCACAGTGGGACAATCATGGTCCCTCAGCGCTGGCACCTTGGCCCTGGGACCTCCTGCTGTCACCGGGGGCCTGCGGGGAGCCCGGTGATGAAGCAGGGCTCGTTAGCACCGGTGACCTTCCCCTTCCCGTCCCCGGCCAGCGCTAAGCGGGTTTGTTACATATTTAATATCCTGAGAGCGTTATTAGTCGGTATTTAACGACGGATACAACCTGTGGGATAATCCCAGTCTGAGCAGGGGAGACGCAGCGGCAGGAGACGGGCAGCTCGGGGGGTCGGGGGCTCTCGGGGGCTCTCGGGGACCCCTCTCCCAGCTGCCCACCACTGCCCTGCCCGCCCTCCCCCCTTCACCAGAGCCTGTAGGGACGGGTCCCCATCCAGGCAGAGGGTCCCCACCCAGGCAGAGGGTCCCCAGAGCTGTGGGACCCCCTTCCCCTTCACCCCTCTGCACCAAGGAATCCAGCTGCAGGCACTGAGGCTTGGCCAAGGACCTGGAGGAGGTCCTTGGAGGAGGAGGAGGCTCCGGGGCAGCACCTCACGCTGCCCACATCCTACCTACAAGTTCTCCATCCCCCAGCCCTCCGACGTGGCCCACCGTGGTGTAGGGGGCTCTGCTGACCCCTTTCCCCGGGGCTGGGTGAGGGCTGGGGTCAAGGATGGGGACGGATGGCTCTTGGCACTGCAGTAGGGCCCCGAGTGTACGCTGTCCCTGGTGTGTCCTTGTGCGTGATGCCTTCCCGTGGCTGTAGGTGTCCATGGGGCTCACATGGACCCCATGCACCAGCCCCCGGTGCCGTTGCACCCCATCTCTGGGGGGTTTGTGGGGAGTGCTGGGGCTTGGGCAGGGTCAGGAGGCCAGCGGGGGGGGATGGCTGGAGTCCTGGCGTGAGTCCTGGCCACGTCCTGGCTGGTGGCAGGCAGGGAGGGTGCTCGTGGCCAGTCCCTGCCCAACACTCCCCGGGGAGGGGTCTGCCCCAGATCCCCGCTGCTGCTCCCGTGGGTGCTAATACCCCCTAATCAGCTGTCAGTCACCGTGGACCCCGGCAGCTATAAAACCCCCCCGGAGCAGCTCCCCAGCTCCTCTCCCTGCAGCATGGCAGCTCCTCGGGGTGAGGGGAGCCCGGGCCGAGAGCTGGGGGGCTGCGGGGGTCCCTGGGGAGCCCTGCGGGGTCCCCCCCAAGCCCTGCTGCCCTGTCCCTGCCCCGTGCTGGCCGGCTACAGCCTGCTGCCACCCCCCCTCAGCTTCCTGGCGCCCTCGGTAAGTGCCACACGGTGGGGTGGGACGTGGGACCCCCCTCCCCGGAGCAGGCTGGGGCTGTGTGGGGTGGTTGGGGCTGGGGGCTGCTGTTTGGGGTTCCCTGCACACTCCTGGCACCCTGGGGTGCACAGTGCCAGGCACGGGTGAGGATGAGGACGAGCGGGACCCGGCTCTGCTCCTTCCCGTGTGCGAAGGGCTGACCCCTGTGCCCCCCTCTCCAGGTCTCACCAGCCTACGAGGTGCCACCGGGGCTGCTGCCCGGCACCGGGCTCTGCCCCCCCTGCTGCCAGCAGCCCCTTCCCTTGGAGCCGGGGCGGGCGAAGGCGGCAGCCGCACGGGAGAGCACCGGGGCGCTGAAGGCCTGGCTGGCACGGCACCCCAGGAACCCCTACCCCAGCAAGGGGGAGAAGGTGATGCTGGCCGTGGTCAGCCGGATGAGCCTCACCCAGGTCTCCACCTGGTTCGCCAACGCTCGCCGGCGCCTCAAGAAGGAGAACAAGACGGGCTGGGCACCACGGGGTGCCTCGGACAGCGAGGACAGTGAGGGAGAGGGGGCCACACCGGCTGCCCCCCCCGGCCCTGACCCCAACCCCACGCAGGATGGGTGTGGGGGCAGCCCCGAAGAGGGGCCAGAGCCCGGGCAGGGCAAGCAGCCCCAGAAACCCAAGATCTGGAGCGTGGCGGCGATGCTGGCATCTCCTCCCAGTGAGACCGGGTACCCTCCAGGGGTGCCAGCAGTGCCAGAGCAGGGGTAGGGCTGGGGCAGTTGTGCCCTGTCCCCGAGGGCCAGGTGGGGGCCGGTGCTGTGGGGTGGGGACAGGGCAGGACCACGGGACCCTGTGGCTGCCCGGGTGAGGAGAGAGGGAGGGTGTGGGCAGGGAGGGACGTGGGACATTAATAAACGTGACTCTGTCTTGGACCTCCTGGTGTTACCTGTCAGCAGAGGGGATGGCAGTGGGGATGCTGGCAGGGATGCAGGCAGGGATGCGGGCATGTCCACTGCCAGCGCTGCTGTGGTTGGCTCCACCACCCCCAGGGAGCAGGGCAGGTCCTGCCCCAAGCCCCTCAGGCTGCCCAAACCTGGCCATGCTGCCAGGGGATTGCCATCACCACAGGTTGGGGTCCCTGTGGGGGCTCCCCCCACTCGGCAGAGGAAGACACGCAGATTTTCTACTCACCTTTCTGATGCCTCTTCCCCTTTCCCCTCCCTGCATGGCACCCGTGGGGTGGACTCACGAGTGGGACACGGTGCTGGGGTGGCTGTTGCTGCCTGCACAGCCCCAAGCCATGGGGCAGCAGAGGGAGGGACACACAGGAGGCACCGCACACGAGAGGGGTGTGAGGGAGCAGCAGCACCCATCCTCTCACCAAACGGAACATCGGCTGCTGGGAATGGGCTCAGACCCACCGGGCTCCCCCCTTTCCCAGTGCTGGGGTCTGGACACAGCTCTGCACCGCTCCAGGGTGACAAATGGGGTGGGGGAGAGGGGACCGTGAGCCCCGGGAAGGCACAGACACAGGTCAGAGCTGTATGCGGGCTTTTAATGTGCCTGAGAACTAGGAAACAGAAATCAAAAATAGACTTTGCTCTTCTTGATAAAAGTAATAAAAGGGTTAGCCTCTGTGCTAAATTAATCCTTACAAAACAAAACCCAAGGAGGTTAAATAAAGCCCGCGTAAAAACCACGATGACTACAAAACAGCTGCAAAGACGTCTTTACACACCAAAGAAACTCCTCTTCTCCGCTCCTCCCCTCTACGGTTACACAGCGTCAGCGAACACGGGACTCACACATGTGGGAAAGAAACACGGATGCAATGGGAGCCGCCCTGTGAGGAGCACGGGCGCCACGGACAGAACTATTTACACTATGGACACGGAGCTGGGATTAGCCTCCCGGCTGCCGCTTTGCTCTCGGCTCAGCTCCTGCTGTGGAGGAGGAGGAGGACGAGGAGCTGAGTGTCCAGCCTGAATGCTCGCAGGCTGCAGCTGCTCCAGCCTGGGCTCCCACTTGGCAAAGCCTGCGCTGGTCTGTGAGGGAATCATAGCATGGTTGGGGTTGGAAGGACCTTTAAAGGTCATCTAGTGCAACCCCTCTGCAATGAGCAGGAACATCTTCAACCAGGTCAGGGTGTTCAGAGCCCTGTCCAACCTGACCTTGAATGTTTCCAAGGATGGGGTCATCTACCACCTTTCCGGACAACCCGGGCCAGTGTTTTACTGCCCTCATTGTAGAAAATGTCTTCCTTATATCTACCCTAAATTTATACTCTTTTAGATTAAAACCACTACCCCTTGTCCTATCGCTACAGGCGCTACTTAAATGTTTGTCCCCATCTTTTTCCTAAGTCCCTGTTAAGTATTGAAAGGCTGCAATAAGGTCTCCTCAGAGCCTTCTCTTCTCCAGGCTGAACAACCCCAGCTCTCTCAGCCTGTCCTCACAGCAGAGGGGCTTCAGCCCTTGGATCATTTTTGAGGCCTCCTCTGGACTTGTTCCAACAGGTCCATGTCTTTCCTGCACCGAGGACCCCAGAGCCGGAGGCAGCACAGCATGGGGGGTCTCACTAGAGCAGAGCAGAGGGGCAGCATCACCTCTCTCGCCTTTGGATGCAGCCCAGGATGCAGTTGGCTTTCTGGGCTACCAAGTGCATGTTGTTGGCTCATGTCCAGTCAGGGTGTTCAGAGCCCTGTCCAACCTGACCTTGAATGTTTCCAAGGATGGGGTCATCTACCACCTTTCCGGACAACCCGGGCCAGTGTTTTACTGCCCTCATTGTAGAAAATGTCTTCCTTATATCTACCCTAAATTTATACTCTTTTAGATTAAAACCACTACCCCTTGTCCTATCGCTACAGGCGCTACTTAAATGTTTGTCCCCATCTTTTTCCTAAGTCCCTGTTAAGTATTGAAAGGCTGCAATAAGGTCTCCTCAGAGCCTTCTCTTCTCCAGGCTGAACAACCCCAGCTCTCTCAGCCTGTCCTCACAGCAGAGGGGCTTCAGCCCTTGGATCATTTTTGAGGCCTCCTCTGGACTTGTTCCAACAGGTCCATGTCTTTCCTGCACCGAGGACCCCAGAGCCGGAGGCAGCACAGCATGGGGGGTCTCACTAGAGCAGAGCAGAGGGGCAGCATCACCTCTCTCGCCTTTGGATGCAGCCCAGGATGCAGTTGGCTTTCTGGGCTACCAAGTGCATGTTGTTGGCTCATGTCCAGCTTTTCATCCACCAAGTATCCCCAAGTCCTTCTCAGCAGAGCTGCTCTCCATCCCTTCATCCCCAGGCAACAGGCACTGAGCATCTCCTGGTGGTCCAGGCAGATCTTCACGCTGTGGGTCAGCCATGGTTCGGGGAACACCCCGTACCCCAAGGGACAACACTCCAAGGTGCCCAAAGCCTCCCCGGTGTGGGCACAGGGCTCAGCCGTGCAGGATCAGGAGTGGGGGAACCCAAAGACCTCCCGGCACAGACACTGGCAGAGGCTGTAGACGATGCAGAGGAGGAGGGTGGAGGGCACGAGGCTGACCAGGACGATGCCCAGGCTGTGGTGCTCGATGAGCAGGAGGTAGATGCCGAAGGGCAGGGAGCTGAAGTAGAGGAGGCAGAGGACGCCCAGGATGAAGCGGGGGACGGCTCGCCACCCCCAGGAGCGGCACTTCTGCCCGGGACCATGGCAGGGCAGCGTGCCCAGGCTGGCGGGGCGGTACAGCCTCACCACCTCCAGCCCACCCAGACCCTCCGGCGGGGCCACGTCCTCCGGCACCTCCAGGATGGTGACCACCAGGCAGTCGGGACCAGCCGTGGGCTCCAGTACGCTGGGGCAGAGGAGGACCTCAGGGGACCGGGGGGGACCTTGCTTCTTGACCCGCTCATGGCCTGTCAGCAGTGCCAGCGCCTCGCCATCGTCCTGCAGCTGCTGCACGTCCCCACCGGGCACCGGGCTGTGCTGGCGGCAGAAGGGGCAGCGGAGCTGGCGGGGGGATGCGTTCCCCAGCACCACCATCTTGCGCAGGCACTTGGCGCAGAGGCGATGGCCGCAGCGGAGCAGCTTGGGTCTGCGGGCCCGGGGGTCGTAGCGGCTGTAGCAGATCTTGCACTCCATTTCGGGGGCTATGGGCACCGCTGGCTGCAGCCCCCGCTCGCCCTCCTGGTGGGCCATGCTGCCAGAGGGCTGGCTGGGGGCTGGCTGGGCTGGGGGGAGAGGGAAAGCGCTGTGAGCAAAGGTTTGGGGGGCAGATTCTGGGCCCTGCTGCACCCCACGTGTGCCCGTCAGCCCCTTGGGGTCGGTGACAGAGCAGGGATGGGGGAGCGGGGACGGGGGGAGCGGGGGCACCGGCAGCAGCCCCCTCCCAGGGCCAAGCACATCCCAGCTCTAACCCCTGGCTGGTGCCACCAGCGCTGGGACTGTCCCTTCCCCGGCGTCTGGGAAGGATGGAGACATCTTTCCCAGGGGACAGGACGGGCTCCGGGGCCTCTCCGTGCTGCAGGGGTGGGGTGGGGGGGGCGTGGGGCAGGGTCCCGGGTGGAGCTCATCCCTCCCCCGTGCATCCAGGCCCGGAGCTCCCGGGTGGGACGTGGCCGTGGGTCGGTCCCGGGCCCTGGGGAGGCAGGCAGGGTGGCGGCGTGCCCCCCATGGACGAGGCGTGGGGCAGGCTGCCCGCCACGCTGCGGAGGCAGCCCCGGCGCAGGGGCTGGCAGCATCCTCCGCGGCGTTGGCCTGGCAACGCGGAGCGGGAGGCGGATGCTCGGCCGGTGCCGTCGCCGTGAGGAGGGTACCGGTGGGTCAAGGCCAACCCATGCCACGGGGGGCACAGCCAGGTCCTCCCAGACCCCCCCCCTCACCGGGTTTGCAGAGGGTCGGTGCGGGTCCCTACAGCCCCACTCATGGGCAGCCCTGAGGATGCTCCTTCCCGGCCTGGGGGCTGCAGGAACTGGCCCCTGGGGACCTGCAGCCCCTGGTGTGGGGGAGAGGGTGGGCACAGAGTGGGGTCCAGAGGGTCCCCACAGCACGGGCAGACCCTCTTCCCTACCACAGCCTGGGAAGGGGTGGCTCCTGCGTGGCCCCAGGGAGAGAAGCTGCTTCAGGGGTGAAGTGCCCGGTGGGGAAGGCTCTGCACACCCATCACGGAGCCCATGTCACCCGCAGGATGGGGATCCCCAGGGCACCCAGAAACACTTAATGCCACCAGCGCATGCCTGGCCATGTCACCCCACTCCTGCACCCCAGGGAGCCAGTGCTGGGGGCACTTGGGGGGCACAGCACTTGCCAGAGCCGGGCTGAGCCCTTGTCACCTCCCTTTCCATGACTGGGTCTCCTCCCCAGCCTGTGCCAAATCCCCCCCCAGTGCCTGCAGGCCTTGCAGGGGTGTTTCCAGCAGCCCCGAGGGGCAGCAGCCACCAGAGACCCCCTCACTGCCCAGGGCTGAAGGCAGCACTGGTTCCTCCCCAGCACAGACAGGGCAAACCTCCAGCCAGCAGAGCCCAGTGACCCCCCACCACGGGCGGCAGCGCTTGTGGGGGTGATAGTGGGGACCCCACACAGCAAGGGCTGAGCAGGGGACACGCCTGAGCCCCAGTGCTGCCGGGGGTTTCCATCCCCTCGCCGGTGACAGGATCACACCTTGCTGCTCTCAGACCCCTCAGGCTGCAGGATGGGCTTTCTCTGCCCATTGTGCTGCCGGGGGTTTCCGTCCCCTCGCCGGTGACAGGATCACACCTTGCTGCTCCCAGACCCCTCCGGCTGCAGGACGGGCTTTCTCTGCCAATTAACAATTATGTTTTCTTCCTCCACGCAGGACTCTACCCTGTTTGCTGAGCTCTGGGAGCTGCCCAGGTAATTATCGTCCACACCCTGACGAGCACAGGGCTGGGCTGCACCAGAGCAGCATCACAGAATTGTCTAGGTTGGAAGGGACCTTTAAGATCATCAAGTCCAACCGTAAACCTAACAAAAAAAAACCCACCACTAAACCATGTCCCCCAGCACCATGTCAACTTGTTTTTTCAACACCTCCAGGGATGGTGCCTCAACCCCTTCCCTGGGCAGCCCATTCCAAGGCTTGATAACCCTTTCAGTGTAAAAATTTTTCCTAATATCCAACCTGAACCTCCCCTGGCGCAACTTGAGGCCATTTCCTCTTGTCCTGTCGCCTGTGACTTGGGAGAAGAGACTTGGGCAGAGGGTCCATGGAGCAGCGTTAGTGAGAGGCCCTTTGGTTGACATCACAAAGGTTTGGCAGAGGCTGAAAGGGCTTTTATTCCAGGGGACCAAGCAACAACCAGCTCCTGGTGTGACCAATGACCTCGTCCCCCCAAGTCCTGCTCGTACCCCGCACTGTTCCCAGCTGTGTCCCCGGCTGTCCCCACCACCACAGCCCCTCACACAGCTTGGCCCTGTCTGTCACCTGCCCTTGGCTTCACCCTTGGCACAGGCTGGGCTGGGCAGGGCTGTGTGACAGCCACCACTGAGTGTCTCAAGGTGGAAAGTGTCACACCCCATCTTGGCACCGGGCTGACAGGGGTGCCCCCATGCTGGGTGGTCATCTTGTGCTGTCACCTTGTCACCAAGCCCCTGCAGAGCCAGAGCCCACCCACCTCTGCCCCCGGAGCTCAGCTCCTGGTGTGCTCTGGCAATTAAATACATACCAAGGGAATTGGCCACCACCCAAGGGAGCAAGACAAAGGACAGGGTGAGGACAGAGTGACCAAGGAGTGGGTCTGCTGACAGGTCCAGTCATCAAGGCGTGTCTCTGGTCACCTGCACTTCAGCCTGTCTTGGCTCAGAATAATGAATTAAAGGGAAAGAAAAAGGCTTTACAAACTGCTGCTTTCACTGCCAGAGCTCCCAGCTGTCCTGAGTGACATTAAAGGAGGTCAATGATCTTGTCTCTGTTGTTGAGAGCTGCAGAGATACTGGGAGCAGGCGGTGCATATACTGGGAGCAGGCAGCGCGTGGGGCTGGGTCGTTCCTGCCCACCCGAGAGCAGCCCCAGTGCTGAGCAACTTGCACAACACAGACCCAGGACTCGCTGCGCTTCCTCAGCTCCCAGCTTTTAATTAATAAAACTCATGACCTCTTTGATCTGCGCCAAGAAACACAGCCCTGGGACCGCAGGCTCCCAGGCAACGCTAACCCATTCCAGAGCTGTTTTCCTTTGGGACACCAAAACCCAGCTGGGGAGGAGGAGAGGCTTCCAGGGTGCCTGCAGCTCATCAAGTCGGGAAATTCCCAAAGCCGGGTCAGAGAACCACCCCCAGAGCCACCCTCACCTCGTTAGGCCAGAAGAGACGGGTGGTAGCAAACGAATCTTTAACCCAGCAGCCAGGGACGGGGCAAGATCCATGGCTGGAAGCTGAAGCAAGACCACTCCAGCTGGGGAAGGTCTGTGCTTGGAGAGCGCGGTGCATCGAGCCCCAGCTGTACCCAGGAAAGGTATCCCCTCACCACGGACACCCCTCGTTAGGGACTGACTGCAGGAAAGCCCTGCCAAGCTCTGTCACCACCCTGTCGGTCACCGCTCGGTGCCCATGAGGCTGGACCTGCAACACGGCTCAGCCTGGGCCTCCCCAGCCTGGGGGAAAAGGACTACAAAACTGTGAGAGCCCCAGAGACCATGCCAGGAGGAGCTGCCATCTTCTGCCCTGACCCAGCTGAGGGTGACCACAGCTGCCTGCACTCCTTGGAGCTCAAGAGCCAAACTCTGGAGCATAGCGGCAGACAGTGAACTAAGAGGAGAGTGGTCAGGTTGTTTTGAAGCATTCACACAGGTCATTAGGAAAAAAAACTTCACCAGGAAGGCACTGCACCACGAACGGGTCAGATGACAGACTGTTCTGGGAAAAAAACCAAAAAACCCCAACATTTTTCAACCTTTCAGCCAAAGTGAGACAGAGGCGAGGGCAGAAGGTGACCAAAGGCCCTTGGCTGACAGAGAAGGAAAGGCACGGACACGGGGCAGAGCTGTATGCTGGTTTTTAATGTTCCTAAGAACTAGGAAACAGAAATCAAAAATAGACTTTGCTCTTCTTGATAAAAGTAATAAAATGGTTAGCGGTGTTAAATTAATTCTTACAAAACAAAACCCAAGGAGGTTAAATAAAGCCCGGAGGCTCCGCGTAAAAACCACGACGACTACAAAACAGCTGCAAAGACGTCTTTACACACCAAAGAAAACTCCTCTTCTCCGCTCCTCCCCTCTACGGTTACACAGCGTCAGCGAACACGGGACTCACACATGTGGGAAAGAAACACGGATGCGATGGGAGCCGCCCTGTGAGGAGCATGGGCGCCACGGACACAACTATTTACACTATGGACACGGAGCTGTGCTGGTGCCAGTGCGGCCACAGGAGCCCCCGGGCTCTGCCCGTCCTTCTCCTGCCGGCGCCGGGCTGCGGCCAGCGGCCGGGGCCCCTCCGAGCTGCGGCGCCAGGCACCGAGCACTCGCGTTTGCCATCCGTCCCTCCATCTGTCCCCGCCGTCCTTCCGCGCGTGCCATGCGTCCCAGCTCTGGCTGCCCCCTTCCCTTCGGGGGGCTGCCCTGCTCCTCCTGCTGCGCCACGCTGGGTTTTTCCCTCGCCCTCCGGTGAGGGCCGCGGCCGAGCCTCCTCTCCCCGCCGGCGGTCGGGCGCTCCCCGGCGCTCCTGGGCCAGGGTGGGGGCATGCAGTTCGCAGAGGAAAGCAGGTGCCGTGGAGCTGCTGCGCAGGAGTCCCCCCCGGGCTGGTGCTACGCAGCCTGCAGTCTCTCCACTCGCCCTGGCAAAGCCTCCTCGGGGCCGCCGGCACCTCCCCTGCTGCCTCGCACCTCTGCGCCTTAGTTGGGATTAGTCTCCCTGCTGCTGCTCTGCTCTCGGCCCAGCTCCCGCTCTTTGTCTGCTGTGGAGGACGAGGAGGAAGAGGATGAGGAGGAGGAAGAGGAGGAGGAGCTGAGGGTCCGGCCTGAATGCTTGTAGGCTGCAACGAGCTCCTGCAGCCGCTCCGGCGTGGGCTCCCACTTGGCAAAACCCGCGCTGTTCTGCAGGAAGAGGACGGCTGTGTTGTGCACGGCCTTGTAGTACATCTCCTCTCTGCAAGGGAAGACACAGGCACTCAGCACCTCCCCTGACCCACCTGCCCACAAGCCACACAGCTGCCACCAGACACACTCCCCAGCACCCACCCATCCTCTTCCTGCGGGTCGTGTTTAGGA